GATTGGGTGATGATCCTTTGGATCGAGTCTTTGACTCTCCCGGTTCATACTATTTAATGAATTTTTAATGTAATTCTAGCTACTTACCTCTCCTTTTGATTACAAAATTTTGGACATAATGTCCATCCTAGTTATTCAAAACAAAGTGGGTATGTATATAAAATTTTTTATTTTAGATTGCTCGGTCTGGGATGCGGCAAAAATCATACTTCTTTAGGATGTTATGCCGTGATTATCTGACGATTAATTTGGTTGTGTTGTCTAATGATATACTAATCCACTGCTGAGTCGCGGTTGAGTTGCAGTATTTTTTTCTATATAATTCTATGAAAAAATGGGTGTATTGTAGTTGAGTCACGGTTGAGATGTGTTAGAATCTTAATGATGTGGGCTGACGATCAATTACGCTTATTAATCGCCGAAAGAAGAAATAGAAATGTCGAGTACCACGATATCTCTGGAAGTAGTAGGGTGGATTTTTGGAATAATATTGCAGATATAATTAATAGAAGATTTAGTACCAACTATACGGGATATCAATGCAAGGGTAAATTTCAAAATCTTGTAAGGGATCACACTGTAAGTATTTCTACCGAAGGCACTTATTGACAGATTGAACCATAATTAGGTTGTGATAGTGCCTAATGATTTTCTTGATCCTTGTTAGTTGATGTGCCAATATATGGCAGGAAATCGTGCAGGGTGTAGAACCAGAACCGGAGTACGATACTTTGAGGAATTCTGTTCACGTTTTTGGGAGAGACCGGGTAAGGTTCTACATTAATCTCGAACATTCGTCTGCCTTTGCTGTAGGTGTCTTTGAAATAGAAACAAATTATTAATTATGTATAAAAAAAATCTAGAAACACAGTTTGATCAAATACATAACGTAAACGTATTCTCGAAAAGAAGAGAAGAAAGACGGCGAAACCGCACTCCACCACCAACCTACGAAGAAGTTTCATCAATGATAAATATGAGTCGCCGCGAATTTCCCGCCAGTCAAAGGGATCGATCTGCATCCTCGACCCAGAGAAATCTCACCAGAAGAGACGAAACTACTAATCGAGATAATGTAAGTAATGTAAATGATGCAGATGGGAATTCAGGCCATAACACTAATGATGTAGGTAGAAATTTAGATAATATGACATACTTATTTTTATTTAATTTGGCAAATACTACCTCAACCCCTAATATATTTGTATCACAAAATGATAGTGATATTAGTATACCCGATATAGGAGGTAGCCAACCTTCCTGTATAGAAAATATAAATGAAGAGGATTAGCCTTATATTTGTTTTTAGGGCCCCTAAGCCATAAATATTCCTATATCCTATGATAGTTGATTCGGTTGTGTATAAAACATCACGTGGATATTCGCCCAATATGCGATTTTACGTATAAAAATAAATCGTACTGTTATAGTGATACAAGTTACTTGAATAGTTTGTACCACATTTCTACAGAATTAATTCTCACGGTTGATTTATAATGAATACAA